TTTTTGATAACAACAGCTCCAAGTTTGCTTGTGATGCTTCATGATTGCATATATGATATATGCGAGTTCAGTTGCAGATACAAAAGAAGGGATTCTTCTCTACAAGTGCATTTGCGTAAATCGTATACAGGAACAAATGTAAAATATTTTACGGGAAATGAATGGCTCATTATTTACGAGACTCTAGAATCTAGAGTTCAGCGAAAAACGACGAAACCCAAAGTTTGTTATCAGTTTTCATCGGTATCTATGCCATGACTCAATGAGCTGTCCTAATTTATCATACATATACGTTTTCTCTCGCATGAAACGTTGTTAGTGTAAGTGGGTTATAAAGCTTTAAAGGTACTGAGTACTGAGTACTGACTGAAAGATAGTAAGATTATGTCATGAAATAGACCTTGTTGTACTCATACACCTCAGAACTCAAATATTGCACCCAAATCAGACATACAGGACATAAAAATAAACATATACAAGTAAACGTAAAATGTACTGAAACTCTGGACAAGGTCCAAATAAAAAAATTATGTATTTATCTATTCAATTCAAATTTGTTGAATGGCTATGACAAATTGCTATAAAAAAAGAGTCAGTTTATGGCTGACATTTGACTGGAGGTCTGTATGTATGACTGTATGCCTGTGTATGATATTTATATGTAAATATTTTAGTATTTATAAGTCTCACTCTCTATAGTTTAGTATGTAGTAAATATTTACATAAATATATAGTATTCATAGAGGTACATGATATTTGTTTTTTTACAAAACAAATAAATAAAAATACTCGGGTATTCTAAAATATATTTATATTTGTAGACTCCTAAAAAGAACAAGCATCAAGATTCAAGAGACCCAAGAACATTTTAAAAATATGTAGACGTTTACGTACTACTACATAGAGGCTACGATCAAGTGACCTAAGAACAGTTACGATGAATATCTTTATACGGCACTGGTGACAACAAAATTATTAACCACATCAGTTTCCTACCAGTCTCATACTTTTTCGAGCTTAATTTGCTTTATATATGGTGTTTTAATGTAATTAGCGCGATTTTAAGACCGCACTTATGAGATGTGCTTGTTTTCTGCCGGGTTGTTTGTTATCTGTCGGCTGAAAGCGCTCGACTTAAATATTAGATATTGTAGCGCGGATACAACCCATTTGTTGCACTTATGTTAGGTCCTTGTCGGTCTTAAGGGCTTGACATATGTTAGCAGCTAGACACATGCATGTAGGCGTCTTCTGTCTTAGCTATTGCTTCGGATTCGCCTATGGTGTTACAATTGACACTATTCGTGTCTAACATACGTCGACCTCTCCTCTGAGGCCGACAAAGAACTAATACAACAAGTGTAACAAATGGGCTAAAATCACGCTAATTACATCTTAAAAGCAAAGGAATCTCGAAAAAGTATTAGTATGAGACAGGTAGGAAACTGGGCCCGAGGTGGTTAAAATTTTATTGTCACCAGTGCCGTATAAAGACATTCATGTTCAATTGTCCATGGCCTTTTTATAATAAAATTTTGTCATTTTCAGGCTTTCAGCCATAGCTATTAAATAAAACACGGCTATGTTTCAGCTGGTCTACTATATATTTAAAAAAAAATTAGAAGGGGTGACGTAATGACGTTATGTGATTCTCAGTTTTCACTACTGACGAGTAACACCAATCAAAAGCCATGACATGACTTTTTTCACTCTCATATTAAAGTTCATGACTCCAAAAGACAAGTTGAGATTTGACATCCACGATAATATGCTGAAATGAAATGCACAATTGCAATTCAAGGATCCCGTCGCATACGCAAATTTATTTTTGCCTCTCAGTCATTAGCGGCGTATCCGGGTATGTACGGATTTGAGTATAAATAAACGGTCCGAAATCACCTTCACATTAGAAGTACTGAACAACGACAACTTATAAACGCAAATATGATCAATACAACTGCGCTAACCAATATCAACTTATTCACACCCACAGCGGTGGCCATATTCTGGGCTGGTGCATCTGTAAGTATGATAAGAAACTTAATTTCATCATCTGCTAGACAACGTTAGTTCTGATTTATTTGATTGTGAGCTGTTGATTTGAGGCAATATACAGTGATTTTCAGAGATTCTTACCCTGATATGGGTTATTAACCAGAGTTCTTGATATTAATACCGTATAACAACAGGTGGCTATAGACCAAGAGACTAGGTCTAAGTTCTGGGCGTCCGGCGTCAACGATGCACAGGCATTTGATGTGGGCGTAGCTGTATTCACTTACCAGGGTATCCTGGAGTCCACTTTGGCGGCGGCGGCTTTGGGGTCTGCAGTTTATTACAGATCCGACCTCCTCGTTCCTTACAACGAGAAAGCTCTGGGTGTAGCTTTAGTCGCACACATTCTACAAAGAGGTGTATTTATAAAATCGTTACGGCCACGCGCTGAGCAATTGGCTAAGGGACTAAAGGTGAGCTACATTCGGTGATATGAATTTTCTGCTCGGGGTTGTCAACCTGTCTTTTACTGCCAAGAACTTTTTTGATAGCGTTGCGGTTGTGTGCAATACTAAGGCATTCTGTTTATTTTATTTCACTTGCAGGTCCCACCTTCAAATTCACACTTTGCCTTCCTAGCCCTGGAGGTCGTGAAATTGGGTGCACTTCTGACGGTCTGAAGTGCGAGTCCAATATATTGCAGCTTGTAATTCAAATAAAGAAAAGTACACAGAGTCTTAAAACTGATTTCGTAATGTCCAGTTCGTATCGTACACATAAGCACACGATCGTCGTCACCATAATTGGCAGCCAATAGCCCTATTAATACAATCATACTGTCTTTGTAGGAATAAATGCGGTGGACACACTCACCTACACACACACACATATATATACACATATAATATATATATATATATATATGTATGTGTATATGTATATGTATATGTATATGTATATGTATATGTATATGTATATGTATATGTATATGTATATGTATATGTATATATATATATATATATATATGTATATATATACAGTTATTGTATTATATATATATATAGT